CTGCACTGCAGAGGATGGAGCCATGTCTTAATGCCACCAGGGCTGTGATGCCTGCTGCTGTCCATGCTGCAATTTGCCACTGTGATGATAATTGCAAGCCTGTGTTCTCAGCCCCAGAGATTAAAAAAAAAACACCAATGGGAAATGGAGCATAACAACATAAAGGCAACCATCCTGTTCCTTCACGGACAAACCTGTCAAGGAAAAATGGTTGGGGCTACATGATGTGTGGCCTACATGGTTAAATACAGATTGAGCCTACTCATGGTATACACTACACTCATAGACCTTACTGTACCGCAGTCCAGAGTTTTACAGACACACAAAGCTAACGCCATATAGAAAGAGCTGATGTGTTTAAGCCTACCTAAAGTATTTTGGACCTTAGTGCTACATATACCCCAAAACACCTTATTGGAGTACACAAGATGTATGTAGCATGCCCTGTCTCTCTGACTCCCCCCCCTCGCTACCACCTCTCTTACCCTTAATTCTCGGCTGACAAAATTACAGCAGGAACTAGCTGAGTAACGAAGCAGCCTCTGCTTTTTCAATGGGACAAATAGTGTAATTTTCAATGGGACAAATTAGAAGATAAAATGTATGTTTTTTTAATCTACAGTAACGATAGTTATTTTTATTAAAGCTGATCAAAGTGGAAAAAAATAATTTTTTTCATCTTTCAGTTTTTTTAGATTGCATAGAAAATAAAAAATATTTTTCTAAAAACAATACCACCAAAAAAAAAAATCTTGTTTGTTTAAAAAAAACAACCCCAATATATGTATAACTGTGTTATCTAAAGTAATAACAAGCTGTTAGAAGTCCATAGCAGAAATGTAAAAAATGCTCTGGTTGTAAGGAGTTTACAGGTGAGAGAGCTGAAGTATTTAAATAAGAATTTGGAACCTACTTAGCAAACAGCGACTGTTCAGACATGAAAAAACTTTGGTCAGGAGTATGTAATGTGCAGCATTTAATGCTATGTAATATACAACATAATATATAGAGTGCATCAGTCAGCAGTATTTGTCAGTGTCCTTTTTATAGCTGGTCAGTGGAAGAAAAATTACCACCTCAAGGGCAAGGGGCACTACAATGACCACCACTGTAACAAGGGGCATGACACAGCCCACCAATGTAAAGAGGGGACACTGCCCTCCAATGCAAAGAGGGCACAGACACTGCTCACCAATGTAAGGAGGGCACGTACACTGCCTACCAATGTAAGGAGGGCACGTACACTGCCTACCAATGTAAGGAGGGCACGTACACTGACTACCAATGTAAAGAGGGCACATACACTGCCTACCAATGTAAGGAACAGAGATAACAATTCTATAACATAAATTATCACACATACTTTATTAGTGGCGGCTAATATTTTGTGCACTTCGAAACACTGTCCTTTTTTTAGGGAAATCTACTTGAGCTCTTACAGTAAAGAATCCTTTGTGTAACTGACAGTTAAACTTCTTATCCTCCAGTCACAAAAGTTGTCCTTGTGTTTTTTATGGTGACCTAAAAGTGAAAAATGTTCACTAAGTATAATGGATAAGGAATGCTTATGTATAAATACATACAATGCTCATGTGCTCCCTAAAACGATGCATTCGGTTCTTTACACACACATGAGGTGTGTATTACACCTCCCATACTTCTTGTATGCCGAACTATGACTGATTAGTGACAGAGATTGCATCTGCAGCTGAGCCAGCACATGAACTAGACTGGTGTTCTGATCCCGGAAGTACTCAGGGATGAGGACTTGCAGGTTCATTTACAAAGGAAAGATTTCCAGCATGCCTTTCAAATATGTCTGGGCACAGGGGATCCAGGTGGGCACCAGGACTAGAAGGTTGGCAGCTTGTAAAAGTCCCTTGTACTGTAGACACAGAAGACAACGGCTAAATTTTAACTGTCATCCACTATTGCAGCCATTTGTGTTTTAAGAAACAAATTGCCAAAAAAATATTTGCATAAGACAACTGTATAGAGAATTACATGAAATCAAACATACTAAAATATAGATGTAGGGTATATATATTATGACAATGTACTTATGCATTTAATTAGCATGTTGGTGATGCAGTGAATAAACCTTGGCTGCAATAATCTAGCCACAGGGGCACCTTTACGGAAATGTATTAGATGAGAACTTTGGTGGTACACGGTGAATAGAACAAGAGTACACAGTTAAAGAACCTGTTTGTGTCATCAGAGCCCCAACAGTATCTTAGAGTGAGTGGAAGTGAACCAGCCCATTTGTTGACAGTGTTTGTGTGAGGAGACCCCCATAGGTGACAATTTTTGGTCTGTTGTGGTGCATTAGGTAGCCTCTCCAAGTGAATATACTCTGCTACTGCAAAGCACATCAGTGCATGTGCATTTAAGTACCACTGCTGATCACGCTGGTGTAAATGGGTCCTTAAGGTCTCCATACTGTCGCTGCATTCTATCATGTTTTGGTAGGAGGGGAAAAGAGAAACATGTCTATGGCAAAGCACGAAAGCACAAGAGAACACTTCTGTTTTTAAAAAAAAGTAAATAAATAACTGCTAATGCAAGCTAGAAAACATTTTAGATGTTTTTATAGTTGGATAGATGTGTGGCAATATGTGGGATTTGTCAACTCACACATCCAGTTACAAGAACAGTGCAAGGCAAGTGTGGCAACAGCAGACATTCACCTCTGATAACCTTCAAGCATTGTGACAGTCTACTCTAGCTACTCCTAGCCCAGCTGATATAAATCTTTATTGCTAAATATTAGTGAAACTAATGTTATCCAGCAGGCAGATGGGTACTCTGGCCTCCGGTGACATCCTTGATAAGGATGTTAAGTGCAGCTTCAAAGACACATTCCCCTCGAAGGGAAACGTAGAGCATGCACTTTTTGTACATTGGTTCCACAGCCCAACACTTTAGCCATAAAAAATCTTCCACTTGTTCACTGACAGGAGGCTCATTTAGGAAATGAGATGGGAGATCTCGGACAATACATCTACACTGTGTGGGCATGAGTTCCAAATGCACTATAATTAAGGGATCAACTTGCATAGTGGTCATATTCCTTCTGATGGCATTTGCCCAATTAGCCAGAGTTTGGTAGGCTAAGGTCACGGTCAAGACAGATGCAGTGCAGGGCCTCCCAGAGAGAACAAAGCTCTAGAAAGGGCCTCCAATCGCTTGGCAATGGGGCCCTTTAATACAGTTTCATCCTCCACGGGGATGATTTAAAGCTTTAAGATTGGATTCTGCTGGGATCAAAGAAAGGGAAGTCTTTTAAGTCCTTCTCAAATAGGTACTCAATAGGCTAGCAGTCATTTAGGAGGGGTAAACAGCTTGCCTGGGCTCTTAAAGTCTATATAAAGGACAACTGCACCTCAGGAGACACACTGCAGGCAGGACTAGAACCGTAAGTAGATCATGAGCTGGAGGCATCTGGGACAGCAGGACTGTTCCCCGTGTGTCTAGGATCTGCCATATTGCAGGACAAGCCAGGACGCAACAAAGCTCAGGGTAACAGCTGCAGGAAGATGCTTCATCAACACTTAATGGCAGGAAAGAGATCACAGAGCATGCGCGACACTGCACCCAACGACTGAAATCAGCAGTCAATCCCTCAGTGTTAACCCCTTTTGCGGTAAATCGACAAAGAGCATATTTAGGTTTCTACTTAAGGAATGGAGAGCATTGTGCTGTTTTCTGAGAAGAGTTCACTTTGGCAAAAGTGAAAAGCTGACAGCCAAAGTAAACTGATAAATGGTGAGAGAAAGTGGATGGAAGAGGCCTGTTTCACTGGTAAGAATCCAATATCTGCAATCTCTAACTGCCTCTTTACATGTGCTTTGACTCTGATAGTAGAAGTCAAGTCCACAGGAGTAGATTTTAAGGCTCCTGGATCACTTAGTAAGAAAGCTAAATTGACCTGCAGCAAGGATTCTGCAGAGGTGCTTGTTATATGACTATCAAATTTTAGCTGACCTCAGGCATGCTTTAAAGGTGTATTTCAGTAAAACCATTTAAATTTAACCCTAAAATAAATGCAATGGCTATAGCCCTCACGCCTGTGCTTGAAAAAATGCGAGGACTGAAATGTTAATCTCTTCTTCTAAAAACTATAGGTGACTAGCTGCCAGGCTTATCCAGTGGTTTCAATACTTACTGACTTTAAAGTACTGCACTGTACTAGCTGCCCTATTGAAGAGACTGTGCGGCTACAAAATATCCTGCCAAAAGAATCCGGAAAGAGGTATTATACTCCACTGGCCCAGATCTTCTACCTTCCCTCCATTCCTGTGCGGCAGCCTAGTCAACATTTGACACTTTCAGGAGTGTTGGATGTCTGTGTCCCATGTAGAGCGCTGTGGTTCCATCATCCATCCCCAACATCACTACAGCACTAAGCAGCGACATAGGAGTTGAAGCATAGTGTGCAGGGTGGGGCACAGGCATCCAACACTCCTGGAAGTGTTCAATGTAGAAGACAATTTAGGAGGCTGCAGCACAGGAATGGGGAAAAGGTAGGAGATGCAGGTTGCTGGAGTGGAGGGAATAATACCTCCTATACTGCAGGAAGGAGTCTTTCAGCAGGATTTTTTTTAATACCCGACAGGGTCTCTCCAATAAGGCAACTAGGTAAAGAATTCTTCTTAGGTGATGGCTTGTTTCACCTAATCCGATACAACCATGATCAATATGGTTTAAAATTAACATCAAAGTTCTATACTGAACCCATTTAGGATTTTAATTTACAATACAAATTATTTTTCTAACCTCTACCTAGGAAACCGCTTTAGTGTTAAAATAAAAATGGAGACTAAATGGAAAAAAAAAGCTTTTATTCACAATCTTCTGTACAATGACTAAGCAGATACATAACAAAATAAATGAAAAAAAGTTACTGTAGTATCAATAGTGTGTATAAATATTTATACACATACTGCATATGTAGTGAAAATTGAAATACTTTTCTTTTTTAATTATTTTCTTATTTATTTTTTAACAAAAACTACCATGTTTTCTAAATATGATTTCTAACTATGTTTCCTGCTGCAAAGACTCAGGGAACAACCTGGTTTAACTTGCAGTACTGTATATTAAAACAAACCATCCTTACTGGAGATGTGTACCATAAAACAGTTATATTTTAGAGCCATAGCATTGCTTTGCTCATATGTCCTCACTGTTAGTCACCCGGTGACTGGCTGTCTGATGCCTCACTGAGTGCTGTGGAGGTAGCTGGAAGATAAAGCTGGCATTTAGGTTCTTACATGGCCTTGTATATAGTGAGCTGTAGATTGACAAGTATTCATGTGGTCCAGTTTGCGTTTTGGATATATATGTGGCTCTGAAGAGTTTTTAGTGAATTAGCAAGCATTTGGATTCTTGGAGATTTTCAAGTCGTCTGCAACAGGGCTTCCCAAGTCTGGGGAAAATTGCTTTTCAGCCATATTTGTAGATTCTGAGCTCAGAGGTTCTTCTGACTCCAATGCTGTCCTCTCTGTACTTGGGCATGTCTGTTCCTCTGTGGCATCTACTGTGCCCTTCTCAGTGCCCACTTTGTGCTGTTCTTCTGCAGAATTACATTCTTCATCTAGGTTATGTTCTTCTTTCTCAATGTGCTGTTCCAATACTGGCTCTGAGGCACTGGGAGCGAGAACCAGTGGAGGATTTGGAAGGTCTTTCTGCTATAAAAGGATAGCAAGTATCAGCTTATGTGCATCATGTAGGCAGAAGTACAAAATACACTACAGTCATTTTATACAGGCATGAAAAGATGAGCGGATATAAAAAGACAGCAAAATACATATAGAACATGAAATATAAAAATAAAATTCTGAAACAATGGTGAAAGCTGATTAATGACGAATTGTAAAACAATAGGAGTTATTCAGACTAAAAAATACAACTAATTTGGAAAGATAAACTTAAAACTTTAATCTGTTGAACTCTTAGACACCAGATTTCTGGCCAATCAGACTAAAACAGTACTTCACTCGGATAGCTGTTCCAGTTCAGCAAAGGCCATTAGATTGCTTTAAAAGGAGAACCATGAGGCGAGTGCTTTTCACTCACCTCATAGTTCTAGCCGACCTGTGACAATGAGACTGTCACAGGTCGGCTCAGTAGATCGGGAAGTGAGCGAACACATACCGGCGTTCGCTCACTTCTCGATCTTGTCCCAGCACAGAGCCGTGACAGGGGAGGGACTGGATTTCCCCCTTCCTGCTCCGATCCTCCAGCGCTGACTGGCGGAACGGACGGGGGAGGGTACAGCTGGCTCTGCCTCTAGATAGGCAGAGCCAGCTGTCACTCACGCAGCTGGGCGGATCCAGACATAATTGTCGTGATCCGTTTCAGCTGCGGCGTCTCAGTATACCGCGAGCTGATACTGCGGTGTCTCAGTATGCTGTGAGCTGTAGCTCGCGGTATACTGAGCTTAGGGTGACGGGAGGACGCTAGTTTGTGTCCTCCCATTACCCTTAGGAGAACTATGGGGAAAAGCCCTAACCCCATAGTTCTCCTTTAAACATCTAGTGGGTGAAACAATCACTTACAGGCACGCCATGTTAAATTAGGATATTAAGCAGAATTAATTTCTCCTTTAAGAAGAGGTTATTTCCGCAGGTATGCGACTTAAAATGTTCTTACTGGCACAGGGTACTTTAGTGGTCACTTAGGCGAGCTGAACAGATATGAGACAGCAAAGGGCTTAACGTTCAGGCCTGATTCACCCATTTTAAAGGATGATGAAGTACACCTGTGTGAATATTAAACATCAAATCATGTGCAGGGGAAAAAAAGATTTTTTATTCTTTATGTTTTACCAAGTTATATCATAAGATATATCAACTAGACTTGTTTTGGAATGTTGAAAATGTGCCACGAAATCATCCAGACGTCTTCAACATGACTTAATCCAGTGAAATAAGACCATACTAGCTACAGTATGTCACAAGCAAGATAAAGGAGATGTGTGTTTTTCAGCAGGAGGCTGCACAGCACTCTTACTGCAAGAAACAGGGTAAATTGTATATAGTTAAATTTTGGGCACCTAAACCTTTTTGACTTTGAAATAGTGGCAATAAATCCTGAATAGTTTTAACAACTGATTGATTCAACAGCAAAAGGTGAAAGACCCACTTGGCTCAGTATACATTTTTGAACCCAGTATTTGCACGGCACTTAGAAGAGATCAGAACTGATCAGAGCAATCCCAAAAAAATACAAGGTGACAGAGCCGTGAGGGTTTTGTATATGTGTTTAAATACAAAGTTTTGCTAAAGGAAAACAGACATAGTAAGCAGAATTTTAACATCACAGCATGAGACCTAATCTAAAGCTGTCATGCAGGTGGCTTTGCCTAAGCACACTGGTGCTTTGCTTAAAGACAGAAACACTTTAGCACAGGTATAAACATACACGCGGTGATATTTGATAACACATATATATGATCCTATTTGTTAATTCTGCAACGGGTTACTCAACTTTATCTGATTTAGTGTTTAAAACATTAGTATTTCTTGAAGACAGTCATATCAAACAGGTATTCACCACAAAGCCGCTGCCGGTCCAGAACATAGGCAGTTCCTTGCGCCAAAGGGCCACAGTCAGACTTGTAAGCAGTGTGCAGGGAACTAGATAGAGAAGAGCAGGCTGCCCCCTCTGCATCAGGGCGAGTGCCACAAAAGTCACAAGAAGACCAATACCATAGGCTGCACAGAGACAAAAAAAAAGAAGAAGAAAAACCTTAGTATTAATAAGAAAAGTTTACAGATTGTCACAGTTATTCAGACTGAAAAAAGACACGAGTCCATTGAGTTCAACCACTGAAAAAAGGAATACAGTGATGGACTACAATCTCAATACAAATTAATAAACTAAACATGAGATTTTAGTCCATCACAGGAGCGAGCTTGGAGCGGTGGCTACTTTACAACACTCAGGGACCATGGAGAACAAAAGTAGCCACCCTCCAGAAGGAAGGACAGTGTCGGCACCAATTCAGAGATGATTTGAGGATCTACAGCCGGGTGATGCACAAATAAGCTACATTTTTGTTAATAGTTAAGGTTCTTGGATGCATTTTTAAGATTTAACTCCTGGAGTTTAATTCTCGGCCCCCTATGCAATAGAAATAAAGTTAAGTTAAAAAAAAAAGAGTAAAAAATTAAAGTCGCATATAAAAACAAATGAAAAAAAATACTTTTCAAAAATGAGGATTGCGCAATAATTTTCGGGCCATCAATCACTGATAATAAAATGATGAGCGGTAAAAGCTTTTAAAGCGTCGCCTACGTCTAATTTATAGGTATGGTAGTTTTCTGCTATTTTGTGGGCGCACGCAATTTTAAGGCTTGCCATGTTTGGTGTCTATTTACCTGACGTGACCTCATCTTTTATATTTTATCAAAAATTTGGGTGTTAAATGTTTTTAACATAATGTTGAGAAAACAGGGGGGGGGGGGGTTCAAACTTTTCTGAACTTTTTTCATTATATAGTAAAAAATAAAATAAAAACCCCAGTAGTGATTAAATACCACCAAAAGAAAGCTATCTGTCCCCAAAAAATGGTATAAAATGTATTTCAGAACAACGTTGCATGACTCAATAAATGTCAGTCAAAGTGCCGCAGCGCTGAATAGTGAAGGGGGTGTAAACACTTGGTCTTCAAGCAGTTCAAGAATAAATGCACTTTCAAACAAAGTGCACTTGTTGTTTTCTCCACCAGCCCTGCCTAATAGACCAGGCAACTAAAGGTTGGGCATAGACTAATAGAATTGTATCCATTTCCTGATGAATCGGCCAAAGTTCTATCTGTAGTTGTCTCTGCCAGTATTACCTGCCCCAACAAAAGATGATTTTTCAATTGACTTTTTTTGAAGGAGCTGGGTGGAAAATTGTCAGCCAAACAGCTGCAGTCAGTGTTCAGGTATTCTGGCAGCCACTTGCACCGGCTGTCAGAATACAACAGCAGGTAGGGAAGATTACTCTATACATTCTCTTTTTAGCTTGAATGGGAAAATGGAGTGAGGTATATGGCCAGCTTAACACTTGTCAGCACCATCGACCTCCATATTTCTCTCAATACAGGTTTCCTCAAACAATACATGCATTTAACTGCTGCTACAGCCCATAGAGAGATGGACATAAGAGAAACATACCTATGGTGCATGCTAGAAAGTAGATCCTTGAAGACTGAATCTGAATGTCAAATCTGTGACAGTAAGCCACCAGAAGCCCTGCAGAAGGTACAAAGAAAAGAATACAGTGAAGAATGTTTAGCTTTATATACAAATATGATGTTTCCTATTGCTTTGACTGGCAATTGTTTTTAAAAACCATTTAATAATAGCGGTCATTTTTCTGGTTGCCAAACACAGAAACACTTGTGCATGGAAAATGTGGAAAGCCTGCAATGCCTCCAACAAACAGTGTGATGGCTTTTGTCATTGTTATTAAAATGTTTCTTTTTATTTGCTGCTTGTGTTATATAAATAGGAAAATTGGTTCATAAACTGCCTTTTTTTCCCCAAAATACTTTAATTAGGGTTTAAAAAAGTTTTTTGGTTTACAGACAACCATGACACAAGCTGATTTTAGTATTAAAGAGGACTACGTGTCCACCGTTTGAGAAGCCCCTAGCTTTTTATATGGAACATCAAACATGAGATATACAGCCTGGTCCTAGGGTCCAAGGGGATTGACAGGATTTCAAATTCAAGACTTTAGATATTTGGCACTTGCAGGTCAGCACTCTTATTACCTAAGAAACCATTTAGTCGTGGGTTTCACATTAAAGGGGACATCATTATTTAACCAATCTTGATTGAAATGGCAATTGCCTTTGTTTTACTGTGTATTAAAGGAAGCCCACTTGTGATTTGTCAGCCTTGCCCATGAAGAATTGAAATTCTTGGGACGCCTGATAATCATCGACTTTCAGAATCTGTCATAGTCTGATAATAATGGGGCTCGATGATGCCTTAGTAACCACCATCATATTTAAAGATTCATAACATCCTTTGTTTTTCTTTCAGTCTTGTGCCATGTGTATTTTATTGCTTAAAGGAGAACTATGGGGTTAAGGCTTTTCCCCATAGTTCTTAGAGTAACGGGAGGACACAAACTAGTGTCCTCCCGTCACCCTAGGCTCAGTATACCGCGAGCTGTAGCTCGCCTTATACTGAGACGCCGCAGTATACCGAGACGCCGCAGCTGAAGCGGATCCCGACAATTATGTCTGGATCCGCCCAGCTGCGTGACTGACAGCTGGCTTTGCCTATCTAGAGGCAGAGCCAGCTGTACCCGCCCCCTCCCCCGTCCGTTCCGCCAGTCAGCGCTGGCGGATCGGAGCGGGGGGAATCCAGCCCCTCCGCTGTCACGGCAGAGAGCCATGACAGGATCGAGAGGTGAGCGAACGCCGGTATGTGTTTGCTCACCTCCCCATCTACTGAGCCGACCTGTGACAGTCTCATTGTCACAGGTCGGCTAGAGCTATGAGGTGAGTGAAAAGCACTCACCTCATAGTTCTCCTTTAATGCACAGCATGCCTGTAATTAATATTAAAATACCTTTGTAGGAAAGCAACTCATGTCATGTATGCCCACACCAGCAGACTGAAATGCATTACCCATTTCATCAGAATCATTTTTTTTTACCCATGTAAGATATCTATGCCTGTGAAAACTACAGTGCACTCAAGTAAACCTGTCATGAGAAAAGTACAGAGGCTGGCACTGTGGACCTCCTTCTGAACTTATAAGTTCACTGGAAGTCATGCTGATCCACTGATCTTCAATACAGTCCACCACCTGAAAGTCTAAGAAAAGTCATAGGTCCTCTTTTGTATATGGGTTCTTGTTTGAGGTCAATAAATCAGAGTAGTGAAGGACGGTCAGTCAACATGATAGCACAAAAACTAGCATCTTGATCAGGGGAGCTCATCAACAGCCTTCATATTTCTCTCAAGATAGGTTTTCCTTTAATACCGATTTTAAAGCATAATGTGCTCAAAACCTTTGTAGTTTGAAAACATCTTTTAGCCATGTGTTTGATAAATTTACGCTATAGCTTTAAATTCATTTTCTTTGGCTAGAACTAAAGCAGAGATAGCAATTGTAGAGGCTACAGTTTGAAAGCACAATATTCATAAGATGCTCTTTCATTTGTTTTTTACTTTAAAAAAAAGTGTTTATTGACATGTGATCTCCTTTCATTTTCTTGAAGTCAAAATGACTAAAAAAAAAATATGATTTAAGTAACCTTTAACATACCTGGTACCAAAATGTCCCCGAAGCCCAAGAGAGAGAAAGGCCTGTCACACAGAGCCAGGGGAGAAGAGTTTAATCTTGGCACTTTAAGAACCATTGGGAGCTGAAGCAGAACAAAAATAAATGTGAAAGGATCATTGAAATAAAAAAGGCCTAAAATGTAACAAATGGGGAACAATCAAAGAAAAGGTAACGAGACAAATTGGTTACTAGAGGCAGGAGGGTGCAATGCTAAGCCTAGCCATCACAGGACAAGTTAGGATTTGTATACAATTCAGCTGCTTATATCTCTACATATACTGCTGTTTTTTTTAAAATAACAAACACCCTTCAATCTCCCAGATTTGTTAGGGTTTTGTTTGTAGAAATAGGCAAAAAGTGATTGAAAGTGACTGCCACTAAAAGCACAAATTATGAAGACATGTTCTCAAAACAGAATAATGCAGCATCTAAGTGACTTAGTTGTGAAGGAGAGGTTAGAGCGTCTTTGGGATCAGCTGGAATGTGAGGTTCACAGGATTAATGTGTGGCAGACAAAAGCCATAAGGAACATTTTCAGTAAGTATAAAATTCAGGCTGTTCTGAAAAAGTCTAACATCATTTAATGAAAGAAAGTAATGGAAATGGGTGAACATAAGCTATGCTGGGGACCCCAAAGAATATACAAAGAGATCCCTCAAAATAGTGGATGTGCAAATAAGCTTCCATCAGCATTAGAATTGGTGTTTCTAATTCTTGATCATATGTCTGTTATTAAAATCACTGCATTAGCCATCCAATCACTTTACTTTTGCATAGGTACACAAGAACATTCATTTATAAATGAAAGTAACAGAATTTGATAAAAACAGTTCATGGATTACATTTTTATAGATAAAGAAGTGCCATTCTTACCTTTTCCTGGGTGCTTGAATCTGAAGGGCCAGCAGCAACTTCCACCATGATACTCTCCCCACTCTGTAATTTAAGAACACATATTTCTAAAGGTGGAGTGATGAGACTCATTCTGTGTATTTGCTAACTAAATCATATTAGGTCAACTGATTTGGTAATGTGCACACTAGCACCTTGCTAGGACCCACACTACCTTGACAAGTTTCGAAAAACATTACCTGTCATAGCAAACAGATAAGAGGGAAGGTTTCTAAGCCATGCAAACATTTTCTGCAGGGCCAGGTTACTCACATGGCAGCCTTTGTCCTAATGATTGTTCGTGACCTAGCATATTTTTAATGACATAGGCAGTGTGTTTTAAGTAGAGCTTATAGAGGTTAAAGTTAACTTAAAGCAGGGGTGGATAAATTAATATGGAATTCAAGAGTCAGTCTGACCGGTCCAGGAGTCAACAGGATTTGTCTTAGGAGCCAGCTCCATTGACAGCAACTAGAGAAAACCTCAAAAGTTAAGCACAGGCTGTCATTTTTAAGGGGCTTTGGCTAGCTGGCTTCTGGATTTGTCCAGCCCCGAGTTAAAGTAAACCTGACTTATCTTAAAAAAAATAAATGGTCTATCAGTACTGCTGATGGCCAAAGTACCTGCATTAGGGTTCATCTCAAACCTAGTGTGCCTGTGACTAATAGAGCCCTTGTACACTGGACCTCAACTTCTCTCCAGATCTTAAGCCACCTGTCATTAAACTATCAAATGTTAGAACCTCATGCTTTGGTATTTGACAAGTGAACATGTACTTATTGCTGGAAGAGGACTGGGCTTATTCTTGGCTTAGAAACAATCTAGCCGCTACATATAGCCTGGAAACAGGATGCAATTGACAGGGACCAGGGATTGATTTAAAGATTAAACACAGCTACTTGTTTCCTAAATTCCAACCGCAATAATACCTTAGGCATTTTTTAGCTCAAGTCATATCATCCTTAAGGTAAAGGCTTTAAGAGAAACCACAGCTACGTGAACCCTATTACTTTTGAGAGGTTTAAGGGGTCCTTTTCAATCATGCATTTTAGGTTCTAGCAAGCAAAATATTTTCCAAAACAAGGGAGGAATTTTATGGTTATCAGGATGGAATAAATAGCTAAATAGACACTTGAAATACATATATATTGACATTTTTATCTCCCACAATAATTAAAGCCAAATTGAAGCCTGGGTATTACAGTAAGGCTGCATATAAAGTACAAATTAGACATGCCCCGAAATGAAACTCTCGAAACTGAAATGAAAAAAAACGTCAGGCCGAAACCGAAAAATGTTTTTTAGTCTAAAATGTTTTTTCAACATTTTATTTTTATTTATTTTTTATAAACTTTTACATTTTTTTTTATAATTTATTTATTCATCTTTATTAAATATATTTACATGTTTTACTTTTAGGGGCTTCGGGGAAATATTGGGGGTCTAAAAACAGACCTCTGATATTTCCCTTTTAAAATAGAAAAAGAGATTGAGGACTCTGTGTCCTCAATCTCTTTTTCTGCTGCCCCTGTTATCAATGAACAGGAATCCTCAATACTGAGTGTTCCTGTAATTCATAAAAAAGAGGACAGTATGTTTACTATAACCACAATCATGAATGAACAGGAGGTGATGTAGATCACTTCCCATTCATTCATAATTGAGGATATAGTAAACGTACTCTGTCCTCAATTATTTAAAAACACTCAGAGATCACTGACTGCCTGTACCCGCTCCCCATCCTGACACGCTGTCACAGGAGGCTGAACGAACGGTGCGGGAGGAGAGCTCAGCCTACTGTGACAGCGCTGGCTATCTCCACCCACACTGCCGCTCTGCTGATCTGTGACAGGAGGCTGAGTGGTGCGGGGGGGATAAACGCCGGCCGCTTACAGCGATCTCCTCCTGCAGCGTTCGGCCGCCTGTGATAGCTTTTCTCCTCCCTGCTGGGACACAGAGCAGCGCCCAGTGCTGAGGAAAGAAAGAACGAATGCAGTGCTAGGTCGGCCAAAAAATAGCAGCTTCAGCATTTTGCCAAAAGTACAATTTTCCGCCGATATGTTTCGGCGGCCAATATATTGGTGCATCCCTAGTAAGAATATACTTTTTTTTTTACATACCAAAATACCCTGTGCTAGCTGCACGCTAGAGAGTCAGACTGCCACTCGCACGCACAAGCGGCAGCCTGGGTATCTTCCAACACTCCCCAGGCAGAGTGCTCTAAACAAACAGCACTCATGATCCCCCAGAAGTGCTCTTGATAGGAGCACTGCACAGACTGCTGAAGACCTGGGCTGTGCTGCTAACAGAAACCCATGCTGAAAAATGCCAGACAGACATCACTGGTGTCATGCATGAAGGCAGGATATGGCTGAAAAGAGGCTGCAATAAATCAGCAGCACTGAGATGCAAGAAGGGATGAAAACAAGTATTTTATTTTCTTTTAAAAAATGTCAGCAGTTTATGATACAGAATGGTGTAGCTAAACGAAAAGTTATTCAGTTACAGATTTACCTTGGTAAGAAATGGAGTGATGAACACGAAGAATACGTCATATATAAAGAGAACAAACAGGAGTAAAGTGCAGCTCTGCAAGGAAAAATGAGGCATAATTAATACAAAACTGTTTCATAGACTAATACAGTAATACAGTCTGGACTCCTGCACCTACTTAAGTGGCAAGTGGCAACTTCTGAAAAAAAAGCTGAAGCCCAAGATCTACAAAACGACACTGCAGCTAAAAGGTGCCCCACATCAAGGACTTCAAAAAGGTACTTTGTATAAAAATAGTTCTTTCCTTATCTCATCAAAAAGCAGCAGCACAGTATAACATCTAAAACAACTCTGCTAGTTCAAGCCAATACACTAGTTCTTTTTTCAAGCCACACAAGTAACTAACTTCATTAAGAACATGAGGCATATTAACAGCTGGTCACGTACAGTAAGGACTTATGGCGTGTTACTTTACATCTGTTGGTAACTAACTGAAATCTTAAATGCTCTGTGATCTTACAGCAGTACTCCAGCTAAAATGGAAAGTCCAATAAAAGATAGAAAGAAGAAAAACAGCTTTTGCTGCAATATTCAGTTTTGATCCAGAGATTATGCCTATGAAGGTTCTCATTCATCCAGGTCATGGTATATCGGTAAAAATAAAGTCAAGGCAACTGGACTTGCTGTATATTTCTTGAAGACGTTTCACTGGTCATCCAACCAGCTTTCTCAATTCAGAATGACTTGTACAAACATTCTCTGGGTATAAATATGGTGAATGTTGTTCCAATCCCCATAATCTGTAAATCACAACCAGGTGTTGATTGCCTTTGCATAATTGGAGACAAGGAGGTGTTAATATCCTGCCCAGAGAGATGTATTAAAACAGCATTGTATGCGGGGAATTTATCAAAACTGGATCAGACAAAATCTGGAGTAGATTTGCACTGCAACCAATCAGGTTCTCTCTTTCAAATCTTACCCAAGCAAACTGAAGAGAGAAGCTGATTGGTTGCCATGGACAACTGCTCCAGATTTTTCTGCTCCAGTTTTGATAAATTCCCCCCATACAATGCTGTTTTAATACATCTGCCTGGGCAGGATATTATGACCTCCTAGCTCCAATTATGCAAATGCAATCAACACCTGGTTGCGACTAACAGATTATATGGATTGGAACAACATTCTCTATATTTATTCCCAGATACTTTTTTGTACAAGTCATTCTGAATTGAGAAAGCTGGTTGGATGACCAATGAAACGTCTTCGAAAAATAAAGCAAGTCCAGTTGCCTTGACCTAATTTTTACCGATGCAGAGATTACCCCTGCAGTACCTTGCTGCTGCTATATGTCCCTCTATCTGATGGCCAGCTTAATCAACCCACTTTCTCCTAGTTTGTCATTCTTGACCTGGCCCAGCATGTGACTGGACAGTGACAGATTGGTTCCTTGAGCTGCGTCTTTCTTACACTCCAGCGCTGCTGTACAGGGACTGATACTAATCCAGTGTTTGTATTTAAAAAATACATTTAATGATATAGAGTATTAAGGATTACATAGCTGCATTATATTGTTTCTTGTTTAGCTTTAACACTTTTCTTCTACCTTAAATGTGGGTAAGCGGATGGTCTTCAACATGTAGAGACAAAAAGATATGCCAAGAATATCCTGCAGAATCCAAGCCCACCTTAAAGAGAAAATACTTTACTATTACAGATTCCTAAATGGCTTCCATAAAATCTTTTCAATGCTCTTTCATACTTACTGATCTTCGTTTCGATATACTCCCCATATTACACTGACGGCAATACAGAATGAGGCCAACAGGAGTTTCCATATAGGTGGTCGTTTGTGAAAGTATGGAAGGTTATTGTCTGGAAATCTAATAACGAATGTGTAAATATACATTAATGGTCAAATTGTCAACTGCTCATTAAAAAGGAACACAGAAAAAATGTTATGCTAAAATTAAATTACGTAAATATAATAAACATTTAAATTGTAACCCTTTATATTACTATACTTTTGTTAGGACACTTTTACCTCTCTATCTCTCTACCCCGGCACTGCCAGTGTTAACTGCTTGTTTAGTTTAGGTGAAAAAAAAAAAAAAAAAAAAAAGGTTATATTCACCTGATCCTCTGAGCCAGACCGGCTCCTAGACCACTCCCTGGAGACTTTCTCCCCTTTTCATTGCAGTGGTTTAAGCTTCCAGAGTCATCATGTTCTACACAATTTATAGGACTTGAGGACGCTAAGTGGAGGGGAAGAAAGGCAAGCAGGAGCACTGTGAAAGCTGGCTAGCTCCAAGGATCGGATGAGCATAACTTTTTTTAACCTAAACAAAAATGAGCAGTTAATTCTGGCAGTGGAGGAGGGTGGCCCCTCTGCAAGGGATACTAAAAGGTGTGCCGGAGTTTTGCTTTAAAGCTTTACTGCCTTCAAAATGTTTATAATGCATATACCGTATCAGAATATGGCTTCTTAATACTCTCTTTAGCTGATGGACTATGAACTTACATTTTGGACTCAACTGTAAGCCCCTTTAGGGCCAGTGTCAGTTGTAATTGCTTGTATGTAAAGTAGAACACATTGCTACAGAAATGAATACATTTAAATAAAGTAAAAGTAATCACTAAACCTAGTTAATCACTAGCTTTAAACCTGATTCAGTCTACACAAATGTAATATATGAAAGAAAACCCCTCTTTTCATTTGGAAAGAGTGGGGAAGCGTTAGAACCTCTGCTGGGTTTTTATTGCTGTCTACATCCCTGTTGGGAAGATTTCTCCTCACTTCCTACATATTGAATGGTTGTCAGACAGGACAGAAAGTGGGAGTAAGTCTCCCTATGTCAATAGGAGAGATAGAGATATTGTCCTGCACCTCTTCATCAGATGACGGGCATCAAAGAAATCAGGAAGTGAGGAGAAATATCCACAAAGGGTATGTGTATTCCAGAATCCTGCTGCACTCCTTACCGGGTATCCCTGTCAGCGTGGGTGCTCGAAGTGACCGCAGATGGCGCCATCAATACTGAAACTTGTTAAAGATGTCACCAGCACACCATATTGAAGTGAAGAACAAGTCTGTTTTTTGATGCTTCGTGTCATAACAAATAGCAACGTTTCGGAGCCACACAGGGTCACAGTGTAACAGAAATTTACTGACTGACAGATGTGCAACTATTCTTCTGTAACTATAGCATTTTTGAAGAGACAAAACATGAGCAAATGTGCGTATATCACAGAGGTGTACTGAATATATTTTTGGTCCAGACACACAACTTAAATTGCCCAATTCAACTGTGGCAGACATTCTCAGGATTTAAATATGATACAGTACAGATAAAATACATTACTACCCTAGTTTCTCACCTGCACTTCCCATATGGGATTCTGCGGACAAATGGGAAGAGACAGCTGTATAGACCAATAGATGCAGCCAAACAGAATATTGCAATGATAACATAAACTGCAAAACAAAAAAGTGATACATAGGTCATTTTTACTAGACGTTTGTAAATAGTGTTCATACAATCATAGCAAAGGACTTTTGAAGCTAAGCAATTAGTCATGGGCTTTCTAAAGCTGGCCGTACATATCCATAAAAGATCAATCATTGATTTAGATATAAATATAAAACTTTTTGCCTTTGTGAAATGAAAATAATCATGTATTGATTAAATTTTCCCCTTTTATTGTAATCAGTTTTGGAAAGATATAAAATTTTACATAGAAACTAACATTATATTAAAAAATCTTATTGTTACGCATATGGCCAGCCTAAAGTGTTTCATGTATGTAATGTGAGCTAAAGGTAAAGCTGTCATTCAGGTTTAAAAACGAATAATGAAGTAAAATATTCAAAGTAACAAAATTAACTTTAAATAGAAGATACAAAGTAATAATCAAATTTACAAAATGTGAGCAATGACTGCAACCATCCATTCGGTAAGATAAAGTGTAGTTTCTTGGGAGCTAGCTTTTAAGCAGCAGGATGCTAGCTCGGAGGAAAGACTGGCACATACAGGGGAGCTTCACCCTGCCATAGACCTATAACACACCAGATTTTATCAAGAAACAGCAGAGTGCTATGTGGAGAATTCAGTCCTACTTTTATGTAGTAAATAGAAAAATACCTTTAACCGGCAGATGAATTCTTTCATTGTCACACACACACACACACGATAAAAAACATATTATTGATGTGAAAATTTACCAAAGACCCCCAAAACTGTATATATGAACACACACAATAATTTAATTTATATAGATTTATATATACAGGGCTTGAAAAATGTGATGGTGTCTCACCAGTCAGTCAAAAATGTCCCCAGTCAGCATGACCGGACTATAGCCTTGCCATTTATGTTAACATTTTTTGGGGACAGATAGAGCTTTCTTTTAGAAGTATATAATCACCACGGGGGTGATGAAAAAAGTACCATAAATGTTAAAAAAAAACAACAAAGTTTCCCTATATTCTGTTATAAAACATTTATTCTTACCTATATTTTTAGTAAAACATAAAAGTCGGGGGCACGTCGGGTAAATAGACACCAAACACGTCAAGCCTTAAAATCGCAAAAAACGCCCATAGGCGACGATTAAAACGCTTTTACTGCTCATAAGTTTAGTGTTCTCAGTGATTAATGGCTCTAAAAGTATTGCTCTCACTGCGACGTTTGCGGCGATATGTAACATGTGCGACACAATAGGCGCAATTGTCGTCTTCGCACATAGGCGCACCCGACGCATATTTGCGTGTGTATGTGGGGGGCAGTGACTTTAAAAAAATGTTTTCTTTATTTTTTTTTTATGATTCTTTCATTTTTTTATTACTTTTTCTTTTATTTACCACAACTTTATTGCTATTACATGGGGGACTAAGAAGCCCCCTATGTGATAGCCAATTTACATGACAGGTCCTCTTTATGGAGACATCACCTAGGGACCCCCAGAGAAGCTGATGAAGCAGAGATCTGCTTCATCAGCTTCTGTAGCTGGAGAGTGACACTGAATGCAGGAAGTGATGTAATATACATCACTTCCTGCATTCAGGGACTGAGAGTAGATCAAAGGGAGATCGTTTATTGAACTCTTTGATCTCCTGTCACAGAGCCGTGCCGCATCGAGCACAGGGGATCTCGGGACCGGCAGTGACAGCTGCTAATACAAGCGATCGAGCGTCTCTAGAGACGCCCGATCGCTTGCCGGCCCGGCCGAGACGCCCGGCCGGGAAGCTGCTCTTCGGGCTCCACCGCCCTCTCGTCACAGACTAGCAGATAAGTGGATTTGTCAAGCCCTGTATATACACACATTGTAAGAAGCCTAGAAGGAACAGGCATCTGGCTCAGTCAGGGAATAACTTAATGTTTAGGGGGCACCCTCAGGCACTGACGGCTCATTAGGGAATAACCGTGATTGGACAGGTAAACCTTGTCTAAATCCTATTATTTTTTACTTGACAAGCTGGTGCTGGGGGTATCTGCAGTGAGCCTCTCCTACTTTGCTCCATAGTCCTATGGATGGTCACTCATGTGATTGCTGGTGTGTAACAATGTCATAGCCACCACAGATGCCTATGGGCAATGGGTTCATACCTGCACATCACACTGGAATCTATGGTAGCAGAAAATCCTTTATGTGCAATGAATGCACATTAACAAAATGTACACTGCTAAATAAAGCCATGTAAGTTAAGTATTGCATGGATATTTGGTAAGCATGAGCAGCAGGATAAATAACTAGCCATTTTTTACTCACCTAAGTGATCATAGAATTGGTACAGAAGAATTAACATTGAGCAGCACATAACCACAAACACGCAGATCATGACAGGAGTAACATCCACAGTCTCGTCATCATGTTTCTTGTCTGATCCATCATCCCTTTTATGTTTCATGTACCGCCTGTATATAAGACAAATGTAAACGATCAATACTTACACTTAACATATTTGTTCAGAGATTTCATTTTGTTCTAATAATGTAAGAAAGGTCGCAAAAGAAATAAAGAGTCATTAGAATTCTCAAAATTAACATTTAGGCCTAAGTTACAAGGATGACTTTGATCTGAGTGGTTTAACCTCTTGTGACAATCACCTTATTTACATTACAATTTCAATCTATTGCAAATGAGGTGGTATTACAGGCAAGCATGGGGGAACACTGCCTATAATCCCCCATCAAACAGAAATAATGTTTAAATTATGACAAGAGTAAGTAGAACTACATTTTTTTTATAGCAAATGTACTGTAAACCCTCATGGAAGCAGGAGAAGGAAGCTGTTTATGGCAGGTGGTTTTACAGCAAAGTCACTCTGCAACTAACTGAACTGCATTAAGATTATTTTGCCAAGAGTTGGGCCCAACTCCAAATAAGGTTGCAGTGTGAGCTGTCTGCTGACAATCCAAGGCAACACCAACCTTCCAGCGATGCTTTCTTTCTGCCGTGCAAGAAATAAAGCACACCCAAATTTTTGTCCCTAGAATGAAGATTACAGGATAGAGCTGCCCAGAAGTCTTTCCACAATGGGGAGGAAAGAACAACCCCTATAAACCCTAAGGCTCCATTTCGGGGATTCTTAGATTCAGCCTGAACATCTCACCTCAAGACCAGATTTCCAGATACCACAGAGGAGACTAAGACTAAAAAGGTCAACAAGAAAAGGATAGGAGATGTAAAGAGGGTAAGCACCCAGTAGCCCAATACTGAAAAGGAACTAGGGCAGATGTAACAGTGCTATGAACAACTACAAATGTCCTTGAAGGACACTGTGCGAGTCAGGACGCTCCTAGGGGAGGGATGAAGGAAAACTGGTCCCAACTGACTAACTCAAAAGGACCCTCTGGGGAGAGGGAATACTGAGGTTCAGCATTATCCAAGTATACGGAGAAGCATACTCTGGTACGGAATAACTCCCAAGTTCCTACTAAGACAAGAACAAGTACAAGCATTGGGATCAATATTATCTCTTTCACTATTTGTTATACTACAAAAGAGGAATAAGACAACTTGGGTTAAATGTACAGGGTTCATTGGAGTTGCCACCTGCAAGTATTGTAGATTAGATACTAAGACGAAAATGGTTTGTTTAGCGATGTCTGGTGATAGTTTACCTCTACATCATTTTATTAACTGTTGCACTAAAAATGTGGTATGTTATTTTATGTTCTAAGTGTAATGTTCAGTATATGGGGTGTATTACTAGCCACTGCTAAATCAGAATAGGGCAGCACTGGAGTTTTTGAATGTACAAGGTGGCAATACGTCATAATTTTCATTCCAAGGCATTGAGGGTTTTACCTCTTACTAAAGAGGAAGAGTTATACAGAGATCTGTTAGAATGAGAGGACCTGTGGATTTTTTAATTTACAATCCAAAATTCCACAGGGACTAAATTTAAGGTGGAAGTCTGTATTTTAAGTAAAATGTATTTTGTACTGTACTTTTGTACTCACTCGCTCTTACTGTGCATATTGCGCGGTTTCTACTTGTTGCATAGATTAATGTTTTTAGTTGTCAATTAATTTGACTGCCTGTGCGGTTGTCAGCTATTTTATTAGTGCTCCAATGTAATAGTATTAGCCATGACTAGGGCCGTGTAAGCTAAAATCAATAAGTTATTTTAACTCTGTGTGTTAAACGATCGTCGGAGCAAGAAGCTGCATGCCGGCAATTACTTTTGCATTGTGCTGGGGTCTAAGAAGATGATCTAAGCTGAATGAGGAATGGAGCAGAATAGAAGGTTGAGCTTGTGTGGTCTGTTGTATCTGAGTAGGAGTTAGACTCAGCGTATCTGTGAATATGCACTGCTAATGTAGAACAGGTTGAGGGACAGGGCAGATCTCCTGTGTTTTGGTAGGCGCACGCTGTGGCCACCTAAGCCATTGCTATTGACAGTGTCAAGAGCCAGTCCAAAGAAAAAAAAGTCTCTTAAAAGGGAAGACGAGTTAGCGGTTCCTTGGGCATCTCATCAGCATCCCACGCACTTAGCCAGAGTGCCCTACACATTTGTACAGACATCAGTCCTATGCTGGACAGTTCAGAGGCTTGTAATAAGCCGTCACAGCTAAAGCACAAGGCTCCAGTCCTCTGCTCCGTAATACAGGGACACACCCCCAGCTAATCCATTTTTACATGGTTTAACGGATCAGAGTAACCGCCAACACAGGACAGATGGCCAAAGCAGTGAACTCAAACTGGGACCTAAGGAGGGAATTCAACTTCATCAGTGAAATCCCCCATGTTAAGTACTGGTGATCTAACATTCTAGTGGTATGTCTGTAATGTGGATCACTGGAGCATCCAAATAGGGCACAAACCACCTATTTGTGCAAAAGCACTTTCCCTTTGAGAAGGGATTCACTGCTTGAGGTGTGATTCTTGACTCTTCAGAGTGTTTCTAGTCTGGATAGGAAGTTCTCAAACAGTTGATATAACAGAAAGGTCTTTGCAGACTTAGGAGCTCTAAAAGACCCAAAGCCTATAACATCAGGCTGATCCTCCAAATGCAGGGTGATACGCACTTCATCCATAACGCTTGAAACAACCCCTTGTACATTCAAACAACTGTAGAAAACAGCAGTAACAGATACTGTTGGCTGTATTGATTCTGAATCAGAAATTACAACAGGGGCTGCAAACCCAGTTTAACTCGTCACAGTAGTGTCAGAGACAGACTTTGCCGGGGATGGCTCAGAAGAGCACTTAGAACCCCCATAGACAGAATGATACATTAGCTGGGCAAAAATAGTTTGAAAGTACCTTGGTATGGAATGCAACTTAAGATCCACTAACTCTACATAGATTACATCAGCCCGCAATCCCTCAGCTTTCACCCTTACTGCGGTGAAGATGGCGGAGTTGGTAAATTTAAAAAAACTCCCAGTGGTACAGTCTATGAGGTAGCTCCTGAGGCTTCAGCCCAACTGGCCTTACTCACTAAGTAAGCCTTCAGATACAGGGTCACAACACGACTGTTGCACAGTTCTGGACACAAAAAGCACTCTGTGGCAACCTAACAGTACATGAAGGCCTGGAAAGCAACACAATTCAGAGCCCAAAAATCCAATTTCAGGCTAGCCTCACCACATCCAGAAGCCTACTTATAGGGTGAGTCTTGAGATTCTGAACCAGGAAACCTCTGACTAACTTAACCAGTACACAAATGTCAGGAAAGTGTCACAATGCAGAGCCCAGTGCCCAAAGGTCACATTACAGGCTAGCTCCCCAATCTACTCGGTCCGTTAAGGGTCTCCAAAAGCTGATGCTGAGGATATGCCGACCTGGATTGCTTTTCTGTACAGATCAACTCAAGCAGCGGTGTGGAAGTCTTAAATGAAGTCACAGATGGAAAACAAAATTATCAGTGGCGTATAAAAAGGAACTTCAATGAAGTCATTACAAAAAAAAAAAAAGCTAGTAAAAACTAAAGTTAAACAACAGAACTGAGGAAAAAGCCTAATGGAACACTAGCAAAGCACAAAGGCATGAAAGTTCGAGGCAGGGTTATCTGGGGACTGGCCTACAACTTTTGTTTTCTGTTTGTCAGTATCCAAACTTTTTGTAGGCAGCAGCCTGAATTCCTGTGTGCCTCAATTGACAATAAAGAAACCCTTTCCCACATTTCTGCATGCTATAACATTGATTTTGTAATAAGTACAGTTGTAACAATTTACTCTTTATTCCACTAAACCATAAACATTATGTAAAAATAAATTATGAAAATATGCATAATATTATTTCAAATGCGTATTTGTTTTTAATTTAGATGCAAAGCATGGCACAAGAACAAAACCTACTTACTTTTTAACATCTCTGCTACCAGCCCAATAGCCCCCAATGGCTACAGTTCCAACAGCCATTATAAAAATGATGACCATGTTGTAATCCAGAACAGGCTCATTTGGTGCATACATGGCCACTTTCACTGAAGGCCCGAACGTCTAGCAAAAAAAGGTGAGACAGCGTGGTCAGCTAACAAGGAAGCAAGCTATATTTCTTAAGTACACCTAATATTAATTCAAGCTCAATCATTACTATCCAAGTAATATAAAGTAAAAGTAGTAGGCAAGCAATCGAATAGGTTAAAAAGTAGTTGTAAAAAAATCAACTGCTAAGGGGTCTACCGCGTTGGCAGTCACTTGATAACGTACATTATACCTGTAAAGTGTACTTCCATTTTTGGAGCCAAATTTGGATAACTCCTACTTTACATTTGTTACATGTTGCCATTAACGTAGTATATCTTTAAACGAGGTTTACATTGCTGCTTTTCTTTTTTCCTTGCATTTTACTTACTTAAAAAGGAGAACTATGGGGTTAGGGCTTTTCCCCATAGTTCTCCTAAGGGTAACGGGAGGACACAAACTAGTGTCCTCTCGCCACCCAAAGATCAGTATACCAGCCAGCTGTACCCGCCCCCTCCCCTGTCCGTTCCCCCAGTCAGCGCTGGAGGATCGGACAGGGGAGGGGGGAATCCAGTCCCTCCCCTGTCACGGCTTTCTGCCGGCACAGGATCGAGAAGTGAGCGAGCGCCGGTATGTGTTCGCTCACTTCCCGATCTACTGAGCCGACCTGTGACAGTTTCATTGTCACAGGTCAGCTAGAACTATGAGGATGAGTGAAAATCACTCACCTCATAGTTCTCATTTAAATCTCACTTAGCACTCCCTTCTATGTAATGTTAAGGAGGGGGCTTTTGGGAGTTATTGTTTACCTTGATTAATCCTGTGTGTACTGTGCTACCAGATCTTATTATTGGTTGTAACCTACATCTGAACACGGTCTGTCCTAACAAAAGGGCTACAGATTCTTAAGGCTTGGTTGTTACATTGTATTGTTAATTTAAAGTGGAACTGCACTTTAGGCCATAATTTATATAATTTACACCTTCACTACTGAATCAGATGTTCAAGTGTTTTATTTGCTAGTTTTTCCTCTTGCAAAGCTTGAGATAAAGTTTTCTTATAAAAGTTTTTAAAAAAAACAGTTGGGAGAAGGCAATTTAAATTTGTTGTGCCATTCAGAAGGCTTTTTGAGGTTAACCAAAATCCAGTAATTATTATTAAAAGGAGAACTATGGGGTTAAGGCTTTTCCCCATAGTTCTCCTTAGGGTAACGGGAGGACACAAACTAACGTCCTCCCGTCACCCTAGGCTCAGTATAAAGTGAGCTGTAGCTCGGGGAATTCTGAGACGCCGCAGCTGAAGCGGATCCCGACAATTATGTCTGGATCCACCCGGATGTGTGACTGACAGCTGGCTCTGCCTATCTAGAGGCAGAGCCAGCTGTACCCGCCCTCTCCCCCGTCCGTTCCGCCAGTCAGCGCTGGCGAATGGGAGCGGGGAGGTGGGAATCCAGCCAAGAGCCGTGACAGGATCGAGAGGTGAGCGAACGCCGGTATGTGTTCGCTCACTTCCCGATCTACTAAGCCGACCTGTGACAGTCTCATTGTCACAGGTCGGCTAGAACTATGAGGTGAGTGAAAAGCACTCACCTCATGGTTCTCCTTTAATATTCTACAGGATTTATATAGCGCCAACAGTTTGCACAGCGCTTTACAATATAAAGGAAGACATTACAGTCACAATACAATTCAAAACAAGATGGTAAGGCGGGCCCTGCCGGTGAGGGCAGTAATCGACTGCTTACTACACGTCAGCTTTTCCATTTACCAGCAATTTTTCCTTACCTTACTGATATCCAACATATCAGTGTAGCTAAGTAGAGCCACTGGAATATCAATCTCTTCATACTGGCTACGATTACCGCCAGGAGGGACCTGAAAATAATAGTGAAGTAGTCAATGCTACATGAAGGTATTAAACATTTAATTATTTCAAACATTCTCAGGTTAAAGAAACATTTAAAACTCAAATGGTATATGTACGGAGATGCTTGCACACAGGAATTTTGATCAGATCTTCTTTTCTCTCAATAGAATGAAATCAAAATGCAAAAGCAACTTAAAAAGTTTAACACTGCGTCTGGTGCTGCACAAGGCTTTTTTTCCTAACATGTTTCACACATTAAAAAGCTGGAGCAGGAGGTGTCAGGTTTACAGAAGGGCGAGAATTTCAGGAAGGGGGGGGGGTTTATGTGATGGGGTGTAAGGCTATTACATTATTTATAATTAAAAGAATCAAGGTGAAGGCTAGGAGTTGACAGAAAACGACAGAGCTGTGTCTGTTATTGACCCCTGGCTATAGAGGATGCCATGGGTGCAGAAATTAAGATTGTCTGTACAGCTTTTTTTTTGTATGTAAAACATTTAATATATATGCTGCTATTTAATAGCTGTTTGTATCTGTCTGGCTCAAGTTTAGCTTTACATTTATCTTTTCACAAAGTAAAACATTATTCATGAGACCGTATTCTAAAAACTGTATGTGGTTACAACATGTTAAGATGGTATTCAGTACATGAATTAATTTTTCATATGCCTTTATTCAAATTAATTTCATATGTATTTTTTAAATGTATTCTCCACAGTAAGATGCAGACCAAACCATGAGACTAAATACTACAGGAGTGTTACAACCCCTGACAGAGTTGTTCCTGTCACTGTAGCCTACTGGATCATTTGGTTGACATCCAAATGCAGAGAAAAAAAAAAAAAAAAAGAAGATGCAAAAAGCTATTGTTAAATGTATTAACCACATACAGTTTTCAAAATACAATATATTTCTTTTCAGTGATCAACATTAAAGATACATATAAACAGTTTCATAATATTAAATTACACTTAAGAAAGATTATAAAACACCATGAATATCACTTAACCCAGGAACTACCTGGACACGCATAATATTAAGCCAAGGATATTTGAAAATATAGGAAAACACTTGGATAGTTTAAAGCCAACGGAGGGTATAAACGTGGTAGGTGTTAAAGTCTTCTATTATAGCACAAAAGGTTGGATTTACAAAGCTAAAACACCGGAATAACAATCCATATTTTCAAAAAAGTAAGTAATTTTCAGCTGGATCCAAAAATTAGATTTGAAAATGACAGCCACAAGGCTGAAAATAAAGATTCTTCTTTCTCTTGTGTAAAACTTTGCAAATTAAGCCTATAATACAGTTAAAGTGGACATAAAGATGAAGATAACAATAACGCTGACAAGTAAGGTTTCTATGACAGAAGAGACTCCGTATGTCTCTTCCGTCATAATTGCTGCCTACCTAAAGTCAGCATTTGTGTGTGCCGAGTTACGCATGCACAACTCAGTGCACAAGCTTGCCAAGTTCTTGCGCTAAAATGAAGTAAGTCCCATGCACGGTAGTTAAATTATGCCAGTCTGATCAATCAAGAGGCTGGAGATGGAGTGCCCACCATGGAGGAAAAAGTGGATGGTGTTTACCTCCTGGGGGCACAAAATTTAAGTTTCAGTTTTGTGGTTTATGACCGCTTTAAAAGAGAACTATGGGGTGTTTTCCCCCATAGTTCTCTTATGGGTCACGGGAGGACATAGACTAGTGTCCTCCCATGACCCAAAGCTCAATATATCGCAAGCTATACTGAGACCGCCTTAGCCGGATCCCGACATTACTGTCGAGATCCACCCAGCTGCGTGAGTGACAGCGGGCTCTGCCTATCTAGAGGCAGAGCCAGCTGTACCCGCCCCCTCCCCCAGTCAGCGCTTGGGGGGAATCCCTGACTGACAGTCACGGCTCTCTGCAGGGAGATGATCGAGAAGTGAGCGAGCGATGGTATGTGTTCACTCACTTCCCGATCTATTGAGCCAACGTGTGACACTTTCATTGTCACGCGTCGGCTCGAACTATGAGGATGAGTGATTTTCACTCACCTCATAGTTCTCCTTTAAGTCTATTCTCGTTATCATTAAACTGCTGACATTGTATATTGACAATTAAAGCCTTGATTGACAGTGACCAGTAGCTGCAAAAACAGATTTCAGCAATGGGGACCACTTGTCTTCCCTTACTTACAACCTGTGTTTGGGTTGGAGAGGATACCTAATCTTGACATGTAAAACATTCAGGCTGTTTATTGGCATTGTAAAATGGCAAATACGATAAAATGTGTCCTCAGAAAAGTGTCATAATACACAAAATCCATAATATGCTTCTACCCACCAGCCTCTCCCGGCTAACGATCAGCAGCCCACGTGCTCCATTGATCTGCGCCAGTCGCACCTTCTCGTAAAAAGTGCAATTTCCTCTCATTACCATAGGGATATGATTACTGAAGCCACCATCTGGGACATCGGTGGGGGAACAAAGCACAGATGCAGTCTGATCTTGAAGATGGAGCAAGGCCTAAGTTGAGGACAAAATTAAAAATTGTTCAAACAACCAGAATAACATTGGCATTCTGACAGACTACTCAATGCTTTACAGCAGGGTTGTCCAAACTCCGGCCCTCCAGCTGTGGTGGAACTACAAATCCCATGAGGCATTGCAAGATACTCACAGACATGACTCCCGGAGAGAGATGAATCATGGAATTTGTAGTTTCACCACAGCTGGACGGCCGGAGTTTGGACACCCCTGCTACACATATCAATCTGCATTGGTCTCTGGCCTCCAAAAGAAGCGTACAATCTAAAATCCCTGCCAAATTTTTTTCTTAGTTGCTGATTTAGAATACAGTATTGTACATGCAGGGCCACCTATGTAAATAGATTTCTCCTACTCACTGTTACCAGGACAGGACATGAATGGGAAAACTCACATTAACACAGACAGCAGAAATGTATTTATTTTTTCTTTACTGATTTTCTGTTTTCACTGCTGTCTGTAGCCTCATACGTTCCTATCTTGATGACCACTATCCCTGGGACAGGAAGTCAGAAGAAATCTTACCAATGGGCACACAAACATGACACCTGGAGAGAGTGTTCCATTCTTCTCTATCCACCAATTTTTTTAAAATAAATTCCCAGGGGCACTGCATGTCATTTTAGCCTCCTATCTATCCTCTAGGACCTGTGTTGATGGGCTTTCAGCTTATGTCAATGGCATCAGTTTGACATCAGCTTGAGATGCTTCTGAGATCATTCAGAATTGATGGGCAGGTGCAATTAACCAGCTTAAAGCGAGTTTTGAAGACCCATAGACTTCTATGGGATATTACAGCCTGTCTGACTTGAATAAAAACCCACAGACACAGGCTCTTACTATTTCTTTGATTTACCAGAGTACATTGAGTGACACTCGTCTCTTTGGAGGAGTGCACTCTGTCTTAGAGCTATTATGCATTGTTAGTCTTCTCCTTTCATATGTTAGGGTGAAATTTGGGAAATTTACAGAATTGTTTGATGTCCATAAAGTATTAACCCTCCAAAAATTACTTCCAGGCCCAAACTTTCAATATGCAATATATTTTTGGCCACAGCGCTGTAAAAAAAACATAGGAGGATAGTCCTATGGATAAATCTTGCTTATGATGTATGGCTACATAAACTAGGCTTTGATTTTTGTGCGTGAAAAGGATTTTGTATCTACTAGGCAGAGATTGTCAGTGACCCAGATTTTTACTTATGTGTATTTGTGTACATCCACGTGTATTTTAGTTTGCGACTTACATACTGTTTACTTACTACTTGCAGTGTATACAACATGTAAATGTTTGTGCTCTGACAGCAAATAGAGAACATTCTGTTCTGTTCTCGGCATGGACTGCATGATATATACTCATTCATGCAGTCAGGCTCGCACTGAACCACAATTTCCTACATACTTCTAGTGCAGCTAGATCACCTGACGGCATGAATGTGTTTCTAGTATAGCAGATTTAACCACCTATCGAGCTAGATCACTCAGTAAAACAATTGCATGTTTTTTACACATATACTGCTATTGTCAACTAATTAGCAATGGGGGAGAAAAAAAAGAAAAATCAGCATTTGAGAACCTTTTATTTTCAGCTACAGAGCAAACGATACATGGAGATAGGAGCTTGCTATGGCTTTGTGCCTAGGCACTGCAGATAGAAAAATAAAAGGGTGATGCTCACAGTGTCTTTAGTATTACAGTAAACATGTCACTATGGCTGCAACAACTAATCGACATAATCGATTATAATCGATTATTGAAAAAGTTGTCAACTTTTTCAATAATCGATTAATCGGGTTCCGATTGGTTGGCCCTGTTCACGGCTCCACACACGCTGCGCGCCACACCACCTCATGCTCACCGCTGCCAGACCCGCCCGGCCGCATCCACAAGCAGCACCTCCTCCTCCGCCTCACACTCACCGCCCGCCCACATCCACGCTCGGCACAGGGACGCTGGTAGAAGACATAAGGAGGAGCAGGTGTGGGGGGATGACAGCCGCCGATAGACAGGCCCGATCTCAGAAACAAATTGCTGGAAGACTGCTCAGATAAACCTGCACTTTCCCACACATGGCGCTCTATAATGTATTGCTGGGATTTGTAGTCCTCTATAGCCGGTGCAATTCTTCATCATTGCTGTATAATTTTACACTTTCCATTTCACTATATTGCACACCACAGTTTTTTTTCTTTTCTTTTTTACCTCCACCGCTCCAAGCTTGCTCCTGTGATGGACTGCAATCTCAATACAAATAACAAACTAGTAGTCCCATCACTGGAGCCATTTTTTAAAATTGATTTAATTTTTTATCCGATTAACCGATTAATCGAACTTAATAATCGGCTAACTAATCGATTTTGAAAATAATCGTTAGCTGCAGCTCTACATGTCACAAATGTGAACAATACAGAATGAGCATATGATATAAATATGTATAAGCAACGTCAGAGCAGTTCTGTAGATCCAGAGATACACCAAAAACTATGGAGACACATTCAGTAAAGTTAGATATACAGTTACACAGTGATGGAATGAAAAGGAGCTAAAGCTTACTCACAGCTTTGGTCAGGTCATGAGGCAAGTGAGCCCATTCAGAATTAAAAAGAATACAGTAATCTTTGGCACTGCCAACACTTTTCTCTGATGTTACATGGACCATTCCATATTCACACAGTACCTGAAAAAGAACAGATAAGTTTACATATTTATATACACAGCTCAAATTTTAGAGAGAAAATTATTTCCATAGAACATCCTGATGTTTGTCTAAAAGTAAGCAAAAAGTATAAAAGCACAACGATAACCAAAAACCCTTTTTTTCCTTCTTTATTTTAAGTCAAGTTTACAGCACACATATACAGTAGAGCAGGGGTTCCCACAATTTTTGTGTTAAGATCTACTTTTCAAATGACGAGCTACATGAGATCTACCAACGAAAAAAAAACCTCCCTCGCTCTCTCTCTCCTGGCTCATCCTCCTGGCTCTCTCTCTTCGTTTTCTCTCTTGGCTCTCTCTCTTGGCTCTCTCTCTTGGCTCTCTCTCTTGGCTCTCTCTCTTGGCTCTCTCTCCTGGCTCTCTCTCCTGGCTCTCTCTCCTGGCTCACCTTGCTGTATTTTGCAGCAAGGCTGTGTAAAACTAATATTCATAGCACTTCAACCTCCAGAAAGGTGTCAGGGAGCTCGGCTCAGCAGACTCAGGCTAATAGGTATTCATGTGTGCACAGCTAAATAAATATACCAAAATGGAATAAAGGGGCCGCTATTAACACTTTTCGTGATCTAGCTTTGAGAGCTACTGGTAGATCACGATCTACCTAATGGGCACCCCTGCAGTAGAGTAACAATATCGTAGAACAAAACCAGCAATACAGGGTATCAGCAAGGCCATAGTACTGGGTAATGCATAGCAATACGCCCGCCCACACCAGATCGTCCCAAAAGGGTCTATTGCACAGAATGAAACATCACCTGTAGGCCAAGATAATGAAGACCACCAGGCTATGGGCTGCAATGGCCAATTTTGATAAAGTGCTCCAGAAAAAAAAAATTAATAAGGTAACGCAGCAATTTAGAGAAGATAACACAAACCAATGCAAAAATAAGAAGAGAATAGGAGAGAGAAAAAGGAGAAAAATAAAGAGCAAGAGAAGGGTCTCAAAGGAAACCCCACACAACCCCAACAGGACATTAAAATACATAGGAGCCACCAAATTCAGCAGGTAGGTCAAAACTTTTTTTTTTTTGGACTATCATAAGAGTAAACACTTCTGCTAAGTTTGCTCTACGTGACCCCATTGGGGACCCAACATGTTGGTCATATGATGTTGTCTGCAGTTTACATCCTCCCCAGCTCTATGGTTACGAAAGATCTGCATGGCTGAAGTCAAACAATAAGAAATAATCTTTTTCTAAGGAGCCAGGGGCTACTTAAAGGGCATGTATAGTGATCTTGTTCATATTTTCTTTCTTATGGTCAGGACTAGTCTTTTTTTTTTTAGTCAGGCAAATCTAAAAATTTGCATGTGAGCATTTTTTATGATTATATCCTGCCAGCAGGGGGAGCTATAGGCTCCTTTTTACATTTTCCAGGTTCTGTTAAAAAAATAAAAGTCCCGTTTACAGGACTCAGTAGATGAAGCTGAAATTTACATGCAAATTAATGAGTTAGAGGAGTAACTCATTCCCCTTTCTGATTCCTTATATTGCTCTGTGAGTCATAATATACAATGTATTAAAGTATAAATAAACCGAATAACAAAAAATATTATTATAATACAGGATTTATATAGCACCAGCAGTGTGCACAGCGCTTTACAATATAAGGAAGGCATTACAGTTACAATTCGTATCAAGACAAAATGGTTAGGTGGGCCCTCCCCGTGAGAGCTTACAACCTAAAATGTAATATTTTGCAGCTTACCAATCCTTAAATGTGGTTGGCTGCATTAGTTTTCTTTTTTTAATCTTTTTTTCCCCTTTTATTTCCATCTGGTGATCTGACCAGTATTATACTTCCTGTCTTAGGGCCGGTTCACACCACATCCAGTGTGTTACGGCACGGTTAGTGGCCAGAACGCAGTGGATTGCATAATTAAAGCTTTGCGCATCCTGGGGTTGGAGGGGGCATGGTGATGCCATTCATGACAATGGCACCGCAGCCACGCTTCCCACCCGCAGTACAATCACCAGAACGTGTGGTAGAGCAATACCCGCGGTCCAGTGTGGTGCGATCGCAAACAATAGTGCACTTGGTAAGAAGCAAAATATTAAGTTGTTGGTTTTGTGTTCAGATAAGCTTTAAATGTTTATTAACCACTTGAAGACCTCGGTGTTAAACCCCCTTCCTGTCCAGGCCATTTTTCAGCATTCAGCACTGTGGTACTTTGACATTTATTCAGTCATTCAACGCTGTACCGAAAATAATTGTTTTCAATCATTTTTTGGGGGTTCGTTTGGTGGTATTTAATCACTGCTGGGGTTTTTATTGTTTACTATATAAAGAAAAAAGAACCGAACATTTTGGAGAGAAAAAAGAAAAAATGTTTTCCCTATGTGACGAAACATTTATTATTACCCAATTTTTTGGTAAAATATAAAAGACGGTGTCACGTCAGGTAAATAGGCACCAAACATGTCAAGCCTTAAAATTGGCCCTACAATTATTGCTCAAACTCTGACAAGCGCTGTGTGGCACAATGGGTGCAATCATCATTTTCGCACATAGGTGCACCCTACGCATGTTTGCATGTGTGGGCACATTAAGGCGGGGGACTTTAAAAAAAAAGTCAGTTTTTTTTTAAAATTATGCGATACATTTTTTTAATGTATTGCTATCACATAGGGGGTCCCCCTATGTGATAGCAAATATACAGTGACTGGTCCGCTTTATGGAGACATCAGGGGTCTATTAAACCCCTGTCACCTGGGGACCCCCAAAGAAGCTGAGCACAGATCAGCTTCACCAGCATCTCTACGGCTACAGAAGCCAAAAAATTACAGCCTGAAGGTGGAAGTAATGCAATACACATCACTTCAGCATTTAGAATATCGCACACAACAAACATTTGCATTTAATTACAAGGCAGGAAAGGAAGTGGTTAAATGTATATATTTACAAAAAACAAGACTTCATACATACATACATACATAAAAAAAAAAATACTAAAAGCCTAGCTCAAGCATGTTTTTTTTAATGATTTAGTGAGCAAGACTTAAAAATGTCAGGTCATTTTTGCGCACATTTCATCTCTCAATGAAGTCTATTAGGGACAACAAACATGCTACAATGCACAGAATATTCAGATGTGCACAGGGGCCATTGAAAACAATGCAATTTTCCACGTTGAGTGTTGTATATTAGCATTCAAAACGTTCAGGCGTGAATGGGGCCTGAAACATTTCTCCATGCAACACAACACTACTGGTTAACCGGAGACAAAAGCAAGCACCAAAATGACATATCTTATAGCTGCTTGGTTAAAAAGGTGATACTATTATGCAAAACAATGTGTATGGTATGTTTGTTCAGGGCTAATGTGCCTCACTCAGTAGAACTTCCTTTTGGAACAGTCAGGGTCTGACCTGTAACACATTCCTGTATGAGAATGATTCAATACACACACCAATGTAGACCTTGCTGGATCATATCTTCCATGATACCTGAATAACATCTGCCAGTCTTAAGTGCCAGGGGCATCAGCAGAGCAGGCCTAAAATATTTTAATGGCTAATATTCAGACCATGTATGAGTACCTAATCACAAATCAGATTCAAGACAACAGTCGAAGTGGCAAGCATTGTGATATAGCATGGGCATAGTACCGATTTATGAACTCTCTCATATATGCAAGAAATATTTGGTGGGAACAAATGCCTTGGATCCTAGCCCGTAAAAATTACTTCTGAATTGCTCACTGACAAAAATACATTTTACATGTGTCATACTACTCAGTGTGTGTTCTACACATTCCAATAAACTTTTTCTTTTTTTTTCAATAAATCTACATTTGCTTCCAATATTCTTAACTACTTAATTTCATAAAGGGTGCAGTGACACATTTTTACTGCATGCTTTTGCCCGCTATATGCTGAGAGCGCAGGATTGTGCCGCAGCCGGGATAGATCGCCCCAAAATACTGTTGAGATCCACCCAGCTGGCTGATAGCTGGCTCTGCCCGTCTAGAGGCAGAGCCGGCGGTACCTGCCCCTTCCTCAGTCTGTTGCTCCAGTCAGCGCAGGAGAGGGCAGGGAATTTCTTTGGGGAGCAGTGATTGACAGTCGCCGATCTCTGCAGGAAGTGGATCAGGAAGTCAGCGATCGGTGGTGTGTGTTCGCTGACTTCCCAATAGAACTGACCTGTGACAGCTTCTTTGTCACAGGTCGTCTTGAATTATGGGGATGAGTGTTTAAATATGTAATTTTGCCCCTCCACAGTGAGGGGATATAAATGCTGTTTTTATCTCATTGGCACTTCATGAATTGCCTACCTTTTAACACACAACAGTGGAAATGCCCCTTTCAATACTGGTGCTGTCATTACCAATCAGCAAGGGATCCGTGCACAAATTCACTGCTGATCGCAACAGCACAAAATGGATGCCACCACTTTTCATGCTTTTTGCTTTATCTTATGATGGAGGAAAAAACTGAGCTTAAGAGATCCATGTTAGCTCTGTGAAGAGTCCGATGTAAATGTGTTGATTTACATCTGATTAACCCAGAGCCGTCACAATCAGGTCTACTAAAATGGAACTCTGTTCTGTTTCGGAGGTAAACACTGGGCCTCCGATCAGGTCCACCTAAACCGACAGGTGGTCCTGACTGGACTGCCTAAACAAACGAAAGGGCCCTAAAGTTGGTGATATACCCGAGATAAGCTTCAGTGGTATTTGGTAATCTCTGTTGATGGCAATAGACACCCCCAGCTGACTAATGGCAGTGGTTAGAAAGGGTGCAAGATTGAAAGGTTTGTTTTTGATGGTGCAATTTATGTGTTTTTATGAAGTATGTTTTTACCAAATCCTGCTTGCTGTAGTTAGGTGGGGTTGTCAGCCATTACTTCTTCCTTAGGGATGAAGAGCACAGCATGCAGTATACTACGTATTGCCAAGAAAATGGGAAAATCCCCTCCCTACACATACATGCTAAAACCCAGACAAAATGTTCCCCCAAACCGTAA